CAGAACATTTTATTATTACTCAAGAATTATTGACATTTTGTCGTTGGAAAAAATCAATATTGTCAGAAAAATATTGTTTGGGAATATCGATGGAGAGATCAATTTTGAACGCACAAAATTATCAAATTGGAAAAGTTGGTATCCAAGTAAAAACAAATAAAAGGTGCTCAACTATTGATGCTGATCAAGAATATATATGTACTTTATGGGGTCGGAGGTGATTCTTTCTGACTGTTACATTAGTTTTTAAAAAACTATTATGCCCTTTTTACCCATTTCAATGAGTTTAGGGCATAAGAATCGAACAGCTTTAAAGCTGAGTTCCACTTGGTTAGCTACAAGTAAATATGTTATATTTTATGTAATTATTTTTAAATCACAGCCCACGGTGCGAGCGCATTATTATATTTTTTCTCTGAAATGCAATTAGACTTGCCTGCTATGGCAAAAGAGAGAGAACATAAATGTCTTTATTAGCGAAAGATGCAAACTGTGAATAGAAATCTCTCTCTCTAGAGAGGTCGTTTAGAAAAGAGATTTCGTGATTTCAATTTCGATGCTTGATTGCTGCATAATTTAATGCTGATGAGTTGGGTTGATGGGCCGTGAAAGGCATTTTACATAATAAAACGAATATAAACACATCTGCCCCAAAAAAATAAATGTTGAGCGCACTCCGGGACGGCAGTTTGTGTGTATAAATAAAGAAATTTGAATAAATATAAAAATTGCTGTAAATCACAATCAAGCCAATCGAAGAAATAGAAACACCCACTATTTATAATATTTATATTTTGTCTCTCTTGGCTACGGCTGCCAGTCGGTCGCGACGCTTTGTCGCCCGGCGACAATTTCATCATTGAATCAGCTCTTTTGGGCCAAGCGAATGCGTTAGAGACTAAAACGAAGCATATTTATTGTTAGTGCCTGTCATATATTTGTTTTATAGCGCACAACATTTTCAAATTGACCGAAAAACATTTTATTATGAGGCGTTTTACAAAATTAGAACAAAAGCCCAACATCAACATGAACGCCCAAGACAATTAGCTAAATCAGCGGCGGCTGCATCTACTAGTCAGATGCAAGATACAAATGTATCTGATCGCATTTCGAGTAAGTGCCAGGGGTGAGACAATGTCTCAACTCAAAAAATTGCCTTCCACGTTGAGCATTTAAATGCCTGCGTTTGCCATAAATAATCGCTAAAAATAAATGCGACGACACAATTTGTGTTCATATTAACACAACTCATAAATCGAGCTGAAATTGTTATAAAAAACGAAACTGCAAAAGAATTCATCAAATACAGAAAAATAAAAAAAATTTATAGATATACATAAAATTATATTCAAAGAATATTCTGAGTTTTTGAATTTTGTTTCGCTCAACTGGGGAATAGCTTAAGTTGATCAAATTGCGTAGAGTTATGAACAAAAATTTTTTGAGATCTATAAATAATATTATAAAAATACGATTTTAAGCAATTTATCTAGCAAATATCAAATTAATAGAGGCAATGGAAAGCCAACTAAATTGGTATTTAACAAGTAAGAGGGCTCTAGCCGGGAGTGACCGACTTGGGTATACCCTGAAGCTTCTTCTACCAACAGCAAAGGCAACTATCGCTAGGCAGGGGGGGCAGCAGACGGACAGACATCTCTAGATCGACTCGGCTATTGATGCTGATTAAGAATTTATATATGGGATCGGAGATGCTTGCTTCTGCCTTCTACAATCATTTTTACAAAAATTTAATACCCTTTTTACCCATTTTGATGGGCTCAGGGCTTAAAACTTTTAATTCATACATATATGATAAATAAATTACTTATTTTACGACTTAAAACTCAACCAAACGATTGCCAAGCAATATTCCTCAAGTAAAGAATAAACCTAAGTGAAACTTGAATATTTTAATAAATAAATCAATTGAATTAAGTAGTAGACAGCGATTTCAGGTGGAATTAGCCCATAGCTCCAACAATTATGCGCAGAATTTGGACGGGTTTAGTCTAGAAAAAAAATGCGCAGCAACTATTTAAAATACGATTTTTATAATTGTGTTAACCCTGTCAACATTAAAAATATTTTTAAAACAGTTTAAATTGACTACCGTTCAGAATCCATTCCGTTTAGCTAGTTTATGTGCATTTAGAAATAGTTTCAATTACTATTTGGTATCTTTGAGAATCATCTGCAACTGCGAATGATCTGTTGTGTGGAGCAACATGCGTTGCCCACATAGACTCGGTCTGTACAACCGATTGACCCCTAACAAACAGCGCAATCAATTCGATGTGTGATCGGATTCGCGGATTCGCGTTGCTGCAATATTTATTTAAAGTTTTATTGAGTGCAAAAGCCCGAAATGTGGTGCAAATCTATGCATAGAAATGAACGCCAGCGTTTTGCAATAATTTACTTTATTGCGGCGAGTGGCAACTGGCGCGAGTGGGTAACGAACATGCAGCATAAGATTTGAAATTCAAGCAGCAGCCACGCTGACCAATGGCTGCCAGTGCCATAAACAAAACGTTCGGTGGGGCTGCAGGCCAAAAACAGCAAACGCCAACGACAACAGCCACGGCAGCAACATCGGCAACAGCAGCAGCAGGCAACAAAAAGTGGCAGACGCAACAAGGCAGCAAACATTCTCAACATGAGCAGCTGATATTTCACATAAACGACATAAACACTACGTCGAGCCACGGCCTAAGCCCAAGGATTGGCATCGGCGGCGGCCGACTGCGAAGGTGTAGCTGCAGCAACGGCAATTGCAACTGCGGCAGCTACCAGCAACAGCAGCAGCAGCCGCTGAGGACAACGTCGGATGGACAACAAAGCAACTGTGGAAGAGTGCATGCTGTGGCCTGAGCTTCAGACTGCGGCTTGACGACGCCATCGCCATCGCCACCACCAGAGCCAAAGCCAAAGCCACAGCCACAGCTCGAGGAGCAAATATATCAAATGCGATCGATCGCCAATGTCGGGAGCTGTTGTTGTGTTTTCATTTTTGTTGAGCAGCAGCAGCGCGAAATTGAAACGCAAATATCATTTATGCGGACACCGGAATACCCTTTACACGGTTAATAATTTTTAAATATTTTAAGGTTTAAAATTACATACGTAAGTATAAATAAAAATTTTAAAAAAGTTATGACAATTAATAGGGATTGGTAAATATGTAGAGATGCATATATATATATATTTTCTTTATTTAAGTAAAAGTAAAAATATATTAAAATTCCCAGCATAATTCTTTTCTTTAATAACTCCCAGAAATTTATGAAATATTATTTGGATTCTAAGATACGCTAATAAATTGCTTTTAATATATCCTATTAATTGGAATTGGAAAAAATGAACAAATTTTACTTACTTACTTTTGTTTTAAGATTGGTAAAGGATGTTGGTGTTATAGAAAAATGCATAGCATATCTTTTCTTTAGTAACTCCCTAAAATGTATGAACCATTACAGGGTTCGGTTCATGGGTTCTGAGATGCACTCCAAAATTGCTTGTAAGCTAATTATGGTATTTTTCTTTGCTCAAAAACATGAAATTCTTCACTTTATGGTAGATTTTTTTGAGGTTCAAATGGAAGTTTCATCTCATACACATTTCTAATAGGTATGATATTCGATTAGATCAAATTTTATAATTATATATATATATTTATAATTATATATATTTTATTTTATTTATTTTATATATATGTTTTAAATTTTAGTCACATTAATTAAGAGTTTAGTCACATTAATTAATCATGAGAATATAGTATGCTTGACAAAAACTATAATAAGTATAAGTATATAGAAGCAAACTTATTTTTAAATTAAGTCGTGATTATCTAAATTTATTCTAATTTATTCCGATATTTAATACACAAAATGTATAAATAACATTTCTAAGTCCAATGAATTTTTCATGTGGAATAATTTTTGTTTGTAATATAATTCATGTATTTTAATACAAATGCGACTTTCATTTAACAAAAAATAATTCAAGATGCATTCGTCGGCGTTTTAATTATTGTTTAGCTTACTTCTTGTTGCTTCTCTCTGGGCTGCTGCGCATTGAATTGCAATATTTCTCGCACTATGCCAACACCCATGCAGAGGGAGAGGCGTTACAAGCTCTATATGTTAGTCATAGCAGCTATCCGGGGGCCAATTGGCAATGTAAATCCAATTTGATCTGTGCCGAATGCTTTTGTTCGATGTGGCAGCAGAGCTGCTGCTGCTGCTGCTGTTGCTGTTGCTGAAGAGCTGTGGCAACTGTAGCGAGATCACAGATCTGGGATGCTGTTGCCGGTTGCCGTGGCTGCTGCAGCAATTGCAACTGGCCAAGTTACTTGGGCTACTTGGCCGTTTGGCTGCTTTGGCTACCTTATACGCTGCGATCCGATTGGCATTGGCAGCGGGCCCTCAAAACTTTGAACTGTTGCGCAGACGACTGCGGACTTGTGCCGGCTTTCAGTTTGTTGTGGTCATCAAAGGACGGACCTGGACGGACACAGCGAACAACGTGTATAAGCATTCGTGTTGTTGTTGTTGCTGTCGCAGCTGTGGACGTTGCATTTCTGCAACTGCAACGGTTGCATGTGCCAATCGAGCGACTTTTACAAGCTCCAAAGGATGGCGACACAATTTTTCGTTATTTTCTTTTTTTTGTTTGCGCCTCTCGCATTGTGTACAGCTTTTGGGCAAACGCGAAGATTCGCGGCCCCGATATCCACGTCTGCGATATGCTCAATCCTCCAAAGCTGGTCAGGTCCACCCTTGTCAAGGAATTAGCATATGAGAAGACCCAAACTAGCCATGGCTCGAGCTGCCACTCATGCAGATGTAAAATAGTTTGGCAATACATAGGGAAAAGCTGGCAAATAAGCATGGAAACAATCAAAAAAGTATCAAGTTAGCCTTGAAAGTTCAGTTGGTCAAAAAAAATATATATAAATAAAAAAAATAAACAACTTCCAACAAATTCAAATCAACATGTCCGCTGAGGAAGCTGAGGAAGCGCCAGCAATAACAGCCGATACATCGAAATTTACGCCAATTATTTTCACCAATGCACCCGAACAGGCTGAGGAACATTCTCTATCAATTGGCAGAGAGAAGCTCAAAAAGTGGCTGGGCCGCGTTGTGCGTGTTACCCTAAAAAATAAGTTGGTTTTAATCGGCATCTTCAGTTGCACGGATCATGATCAGAATCTCATAATAGCCAACTGCGATACGTTTATGCCCGACGATCATGAGCCTATTGCATACGGCAATGTTGTGGTGCCTGGCGATCAGATCCAGTCATTTGCCGTGGATATGCCGCTTAACTTGGAACTGGAGCTGGGGGTGGAGGCGACAGAGCTGCAGGAGACGGAGCGGACAGAGAATGGTGACTAATTAATTGACATTAACTAAAAGCTGAATAAACAACCAGATTATCAACAAGTTAATTGTTTAGAAATGATTAATTTTATATACATTAGAGAATTTCACGCGTAAACGTGGAAAGTGGTTGAAAAGCCGTTTATTGCGATTTTAGAAAACAATTTCTTGACAGTTTCCGATTATATTTATAATTAGGTCCTTGATATTTCTTTAGTTCTTCGTACAAGGTATTTTGAGTCTAGTGGAAAGGTGTAAAGATTTTTTTTTTGCAATTTTTGTGTTTGCAACGATTTTAGTAATTTCTTGATAGGGATTCCAGGATATTAATACAACTTGGATACTTAATATATCTTTAGACTTTCATAGAGGGTAAGGTGAAATAATTGTAAACCTAACCTATTTCTATATAAATATTTAAATATTCCTATTTTTCATTATTAAGAAATATTCCGACATGATCTTATTAAGTCAAAGGATAACATTTTAATTACTTGGGCATTTCTGCTAATCAAAATAAGTTTTCGAACATGTTTTCTGTATCAAGTAATTTTCCAATATGCAATGCTTTACAACCAACTCCCATCTGTCAGATTTATCTACGCTTCAGTCGATTTCAATAGCCAATGCCAGTTCTGGTATTGTTCGATCATTGAAACCCTTATGTTTGTCATCCATAATATTGAACGATGCTGCCAGCTTCTTGAACTTGTATTGTGATTGTTGTTGCTGTAGCTGAGGCGACATTTTTGGCGAGCCATTGCTTGGGCCAGCACAGAGCCAGGCAGAGTCTGGAGTAGGTGCCTTTATTTATGTTTATGGCAGATGAGACACGACGACACTGCATCGCATTAGCTGCAGCTACCAGAGCCAGAGCCCAGAGCCTGAACCCACGGCCTGAACCCAGAGCCTGCTCCAGTGTGCCTGCTCCAGATGCCTCCAGTGTGTATATATAGGAAATAATGGCGCACAATGTGATTTTACGTTGACATCTTGGAATTTGGTAAGCGCGCGCGTTCATGTCTCATCAGCTTGTTAGGAGTTGCAGAGTTGTTCGACGAGCGGTGGCAAGGCGAGGGCATCGATTGAGACCCAGCGAGAGAGATGTCCATCGCAATTGTCTGCTGCCAACTGAGTTAGTAGCTGCAGCTCCTCCAGTTTGCTGCGACTGTTGCGTCTGCCACAGCCGGTTGGTTTAGCGACCGGTCCATGGCTCGATCCTCGCTCCAGCTACAGCTCCAGTTCCAGCCACTGGCTGGGATTGTTTCTCGCACGCGTGCGCATTTAACAAAATTTATTGGAGCCTGTGCTCTGGAATTTGGGCTTGTGTTTTGTGTCTGTCTATCACTCGCTTGGCCCGTTTGGGCTCCATTGGCTTCTTCTGCCTGGCCCATTGTTGTGGTACCTGAAACTCTGTCTCTGTCTCCGCTGCTGCTGCTGCTGGCCGTTTTGATGCAATCGATTTTTAAATAAACGCGTCGCCAACAAAACCAAGTGACTATTTTTTTTCCTCCTTTGCAGCTTGGAGCCTGTCAGCAGCAGCAGCCGCGGCAACCGTGAAGTAGAGTGTAGAGCCTGGTTTTTTAAATATTTTATCAGTTTCAGAGTTTGGTGGAAGCGCTGATAAGGATCGCGCCACTTTTCGAAGAGTGCCTGAGAGTTTTCGGGTTCTCGGTTTCGCGTAATGAGTTCGTTTCACAGCCATCGAAGCTGCTGAAGTTTTGGCAGCAGCCATGTGACAATGTGATTAGCTGAACGTAGTTTTTAAAGATCGCATTCGATCTGGCTAAAGCGTTGTCGAAAGTTAAGCAGAATTTGTGGAATCAAGTAGGAAAATGGTGTATGATAAAAATAAATATAGAAGTGTTCCATTGAAAGTAAAGTTGTATTTTAAACTGAAAAACCTTAGTAAAAGAAAATTGAAACAATTTGAAATGCAATGCTTGAATATGCATTTCTTGGCATTGAAAATTATATTTTTTATTTTCTTTGAAAATACTTGAATTCCTTTGCAAATACTTGGCATACACAAAAACTTATGGAAAATTGTTTTTAGTATTGGTCATGAGCTCCTAATAAAGATTAGTGTGTGTATCTGGCTAATACATTAAATAAGAGGTAGACTTTGTGGGTTATATTGAAAAATGTATGTATTATAAAAAGAATCCTTACCTTATTCTACCTAGGATTATTCTATTCCAATGTGTCAAATAAACTTACAGCTTCTTATAAAAGGTGATTAAGATTTCAATCCATCTAGAGACAAAACAAATTAACAAAGAGACAAAAAACGCGAAAATCGGATGAGTTGAGTTGACTGAGTTATGGGCGTGGGAACTTTTGACCTATGTCTATATAGGATATTTGAGGGTACCATTTTCACATGAATTTTGACCAAAAATAATGTTGCCAGATTTTGATCACAAATTGATCTAGAGGCCAAACCATGAAAAGAAAGCCAAGCCTTATGAAAATCGGAAGAGATTTGACAGAGTTATGGGGGACAGAGTTTAAGGGTACCATTTTCACATGAATTTCGACCAAAAATAATGTTGCCAGATTTTGATGCCAAATTGCTCTACAGGCCAAACCATGAAAAGAAAGCCAAACCTTATGGAAATCGGATGAACTTGACAGAGTTATGGGGGTGGGAACTTTTAACCTATGTCTATGTAGGATATGTCTATGTAGGGTACCATTTTCACATGAATTTTGACCAAAAATAATGTTGCCAGATTTTGATCCCAAATTGATATAGAGGCCAAACCATGAAAAGAAAGCCAAGCCTTATGGAAATCGGATGAGATTTGACCGAGTTATGGGGGTGGGAACTTTTGACCTATGTCTATATAGGATATTTGAGGGTACCATTTTCACATGAATTTTGACCAAAAATAATGTTGCCAGATTTTGATGCCAAATTGATCTACAGGCCAAACCATGAAAAGAAAGCCAAACCTTATGAAAATCGGATGAGATTTGACCGAGTTATGGGGTGGGATATTTTAACCTATGTCTATATAGGATATTTGAGGGTACCATTTTCACATGAATTTCGACCAAAAATAATATTGCCAGATTTTGATGCCAAATTGATCTACAGGCCAAACCATGAAAAGAAAGCCAAACCTTATGAAAATCGGATGAGATTTGACCGAGTTATGGGGTGGGATACTTTTAACCTATGTCTATATAGGATATTTGAGGGTACCATTTTCACATGAATTTCGACCAAAAATAATGTTGCCAGATTTTGATGCCAAATTGATCTACAGGCCAAACCATGAAAAGAAAGCCAAACTTTATGAAAATCGGATGAGATTTGACCGAGTTATGGGGGTGGGATATTTTAACCTATGTCTATATAAGATATTTGAAGGTACCATTTTCACATGAATTTCGACCAAAAATAATGTTGCTAGATTTTGATGCCAAATTGATCTATAGCCTAAACCATGAATAAAAAGCCAAACCTCGTGAAAATCGTATGGGATTTGACCGAGTTATGGGGGTGGGAACTTTTAACCTATGTCTATGTAGGATATTTGAGGGTACCATTTTCACATGAATTTCGACCAAAAATAATGTTGCTAGATTTTGATGCCAAATTGATCTATAGCCTAAACCATGAATAAAAAGCCAAACCTCGTGAAAATCGTATGGGATTTGACCGAGTTATGGGGGTGGGAACTTTTAACCTATGTCTATGTAGGATATTTGAAGGTACCATTTTCACATGAATTTCGACCAAAAATAATGTTGCCAGATTTTGATGCCAAATTGATCTACAGGCCAAACCATGAAAAGAAAGCCAAACTTTATGAAAATCGTATGGGATTTGACCGAGTTATGGGGGTGGGAACTTTTAACCTATGTCTATGTAGGATATTTGAGGGTACCATTTTCACATGAATTTCGACCAAAAATAATGTTGCCAGATTTTGATGCCAAATTGATCTATAGGCCTAAACCATGAATAAGAAAGCCAAACCTCGTGAAAATCGTATGGGATTTGACCGAGTTATGGGGGTGGGAACTTTTAACCTATGTCTATGTAGGATATTTGAAGGTACCATTTTCACATGAATTTCGACCAAAAATAATGTTGCCAGATTTTGATGCCAAATTGATCTACAGGCCAAACCATGAAAAGAAAGCCAAACTTTATGAAAATCGGATGAGATTTGACCGAGTTATGGGGGTGGGAACTTTTAACCTATGTCTATGTAGGATATTTGAGGGTACCATTTTCACATGAATTTCGACCAAAAATAATGTGGCTAGATTTTGATGCCAAATTGATCTAGAGCCAAAACCATAAAAAAAAGCCAAGCCTTATGGAAATCGGATGAGATTTGACAGAGTTATGGGGGTGGGAACTTTTAACCTATGTCTATATAGGATATTTGGGGGTACCATTTTCACATGAATTTCGACCAAAAATAATGTTGCTAGATTTTGATGTCAAATTGATCTATAGCCTAAACCATGAATAAAAAGCCAAACCCCGTGAAAATCGGATGATTTTTGACCGAGTTGTGGGGGTGGGAACTTTTGACCTATGTCTATATAGAATATTTGAGGGTACCATTTTCACATGAATTTCGAGCAAAAAAAAAAGTTGCCAGAGTTTAAAGCCAAATTGATCTAGAGGCCAAGCCATGAAAAGAATGCCAAGCCTTATGGAAATCGGATGAGATTTGACAGAGTTATGGGGGTGGGAAATTTTGACCTATGTCTATATAGGATATTTGAGGGTACCATTTTCACATGAATTTCGACCAAAAATAATGTTGCTAGATTTTGATGCAAAATTAATTATAAATTAATAATTAATAATAATTATAAATTATATTAAATTATGTAATGTAGATAGGAAATCACTGAGCCGATGGGGAAAATTTTTAAGCCTGTCCAGCAACAACATCAACATCATTACAAATTAGTCACTCAACGAACAAGAGAAAAATTGTATAACGAAACAACATAATAACATTTATATTTAGTTATTGAAA